ACCCCGCTATTACAATTGCCCTTTAGTTGCCGACTACTCCCGAGTAGCTTGGTACCCATATGATGTAAACGTTACCTCTGTGAGAGTGTGTCATTCCGTGTGTAACATCAAGAAATATTCATCTGAGACACAACAATTTCCGGGTCCTTATTAAATTCTGAGTCGATATAGCTTTGTCCGTCTCTCTGTCTGTCTGTAAATAAATCAGAAAACTTTGCCCAAAATATTCACAATTACCCCATGCAAAATCGGTCCACGATATAAAAAGTTATGACTAAACATTTCGGACTACCTCGAACAAATTATGGTTTTTTTTCCAAATTGTTGAGTAGATTTCTCAGCAACTACCAAAGATAATTCGATGAATTTTGTCACATATTACTTTTTTTTGCCCAGAAATGATTTCTGTTTATAATTATAACAATTGCTCCGAAATTTCTCATACAAAGCCCCCATACAAAGGTACATATTCCCGTATATGAATATATAAGAATAGATTACTTCCTTAAATATATCAATATCACCACAAAATTATCTTATATATAAATATAATATGAACAGAAATCATATTACCAAGGTAATTCTGTATCGGTCCACAATTGATCATAGCTCCCATATAAGGGCCTCTTCCGAAAATCACTTATACGCACATATTTCATTGATAAATAAAGAAATCGGTATAAAATTCGACACGAATATGATTTGCGTATATATAAATCACTTAATGAATTTTAATCCGTAATTGGTCGCAGCATCCATATAAGTTGTGCCGATCTTTTTTTAGAAATACTAGAACGTTCAACAAAACGATGAGCTACATAGCCCTATTCGGGTAGTGCCAATGTATGTGGAAAATAGTGGATCGATTTCAACCATTTTCAATAGACTTCCTCCTAGGATTAAAATAAGTGACAAATTTATTCAAATAATATTGAAAATTGCCATATGTAGTTAAACGGGTAGACAGACAGACGATAAAGCGGTTCAGAAAACGATTCATAACCGATTGGTACCCATATACCCTCCCCACTATTGTGATGTAGAATCGTGTTCTAATCATCCATAGATATATATACAATCTGTGTAATCGGAGGTCGTAGGTTTGATTCCCACTACAGACACTGGTAAAGGAGCGCACAATAGGCCCGCCAGAGGATTTGATAATACGCAACAGATTGCTTTACTTTGTAACTTAATAGTTAAAAGGGAAAAAACCAAATTTTAATTTTAGATTTTTTTATACGTACATATTTCATTTGTATCAAGACTTTGTTCGACAGGGTCTTTAACCTTACTATCGTTATCAGTGCCGTTAACAATTTATAACAAAATACTATGTAACAAAGAGTGGAAATAATTGCTAAATAAATTATAATATTAAGCGAGGTAGAAATTTTATAATATTGTTGAAAACATTAAATTACTTAGACCTGTGCTATCAGCAATATTAACAAGTAAGAGTGTTATATTCGGCTATGCCGAATCTCATATACCCACCATCAAACCGTATGCCGTAAAAGGAATGCTCCCCTATAGATATCAGGGTGATATTTGGAATATGGCTAGGTGAGGTTAGGTTACGTGGTTTGCTCGCTAGTTAGCGAGTTCACTCGGAAGCCTTGAGGCCCATTGTGATACCCTTATAATTGCCATTCCCTTATGTTGAGAGAATGATTTCCCTCTCTAATTTCGTTGATTATTTGGTTCTTGAGGTCTTCGTGAAAATCAGCTTAACGTTCGTATTAAAGATTCTTATATCGAATTTCATAATTGTATTCATAACTCGTACTTTTAAGTCAGCAATGATCGTTTAAGTAATTTTCTGAAGGGGCTATTATATGGGGGAAGGGTCAATTATGAACCGATCCTCACTAAATTTGGTATTTCGTATAAAACTTATGTGTGTCGAATTACATCGGTTTACTCGTATTTATAAGCCAGTAATGAGCAATAAAGTAATTTTCTACAGGGGACCTTATATATATGGGGGATAGGGTTATTCATATGCCGATTTTCATAAAAGTCAGTAGAGAGGTTTTGGCACGTTTGAAACTTATGTCGAATTTCATCGCTATACTCATACTTTAAAGCCAGTAATGAGCGTTATAATCATTTTCTGAAGGGGACCTTATATGGGGGGTAGGGTCATTGCAATATTCGTAATTTTATTTTTTATTTTTAAGACTTTATAGGTAAGATACATATTTTGAACCTATAAAGATAACGCAATCTATTGAGAGATCTTTCTTCAAGAATTTTTTTTTTTATTGAAAACCACAATATTTCTACAGAAATATTGGAGAGATCAAAATTTCGACAATAAAAATGGATTTTTCTCTATGATGAATAAATATAGGTATTCGTTTTGTGGACGGGCATAGTCATGGATTGGTGGCCTAGCTATAGTGCGCATGGTAACTCCCATAAGAAAATCTTGAATTAGTATATCTGAGAAAATATAACAGTTAGAGTCCTCAATTTTTTTCGCAGCTATATTAGTATCAACATGAATATTTAGGACAAAAAATGGGCAGACTAGCAATAGGGGACGAGGCATCCGACCATATGAATTAAACAAAAACAAGGCAGAGTTATATATTCGGCTATGTCGAATCTTAAATACCCTCCACCTGTAAGCTACTTTTTATCAAAACCCATCTAAATAGTATTTTTATATATTTAGCATATTATGAATGTTTAAATTTTGCTTCCCTGCTTTATACATCTTATGGAGCTAATTTTGATCAAGTCCATAACTAATTTATGTATCTTTTATGGAAATATAAGCAACTGTTGGCCAATCAGAATGATTTATCTATATACAAAACTCGGATCTTTATCTTTTAATGAGTTATGTGCTTTTAAGTGGTTTTCGGAAGTGGGCCTTATATGGGAGCTGTGAACAAATATGGACTGATCCGGAGAACATTTCGCATGCTGTTTTATATGTACTTTAAACATATTCATAAAGAATTTTATATCGATATCTTCATTCAGTAATTAAATATGTTTGTTTGAGTGGTTATCGGCAGTGGGACTTATGTGGGCCGATACTGAATAGGATTTCTGTTCATATCATATACATAAATATGTTCAAAATTTCGTGGTGATACTGATATTTTTGACTTAGTTATTAACGATAAATCCATTTTCGAGAAATTTTGAACCGCTTGTTTTGTGTTTAAACATAATTGATCCCTGGGTAAAACAAATAACGTGTGCCAAAAATTCATCAAATTATCTTTGGTAGTTTCTCAGAAAACTACTCGAGAATTAGGGAAAAACGTAATTTTTTTCGAGCTAGTCGAAACTTAACGCTCATAACTTTTTACGCTGTGAACCGATTTTGCTCATTTTAAATATCAAACTGCTTAGGACAATAACGAATATTTTCGGAGAATTTGGTTCCTTTGCTTAGTTTTAACGTGAGCGTGTTTTACACAGACAGATGGACATAGCTAAATCGACACAGAATTTCATAAGGACCCGGAAAGATATACTTTGTTGGGTTTCAGATGAATATTTCTTGGTGTTACACACGGAATGACAAACTTATATATACCCTCTATCACCACTGATGGAGTGTATAATTGAGTGTATATCGTACAAAATTTGGAATCTCCAAAAAACATTAACATCCACTTGAACATGCGAGGGGAATGGGCGGACTTTCATTAGGCGGTTTTGGAACCTCTCATATGATATACAAAAAATTATATATCTTCGAAACTATTACAGCTAAAATCCTAAAATTTTGCACTAAAAACTTTTAAATGTGAATCTTTGGATAATATATTGGGGGACTAGCAATAGGAGGCGTGGCACCTTCCATATGAATTAAACACTACAATTCGTTTATCTGGGAATTTATTACAGCTAGAATCTTAAAATTTTGCACGAAAAACTATAACACCTATGTGAACATTTGGGGAAAAAATGGTCGGACTAGTAGTAGGGGCTGGGTATATCCCATATGTCTTGGAAATTATTAGAGTTGGAAACCTTAAATTTAGCCCGAACAACTTTGACATTCATGTGAACATATGGGGAAAATTCGCGACTTTTACCTTTCAGCGAGAATCTTTACAAATCGTAAAGCGAGGTTTTACTTATATTATTTTTAGGGTAGCAAAGCACACTGGGTATAACTAGTATAATATGTATGCATATTATAGGGTGCCCCGGTAGGCTAGTTGGTAGTGTGTTAGCTTATCAGTCTAAGGGTTGTGGGTTCGATTCCCACCAGACATTCTGGCCTGCTGTACTATAACGATATGGTCAACGTATGGTCATCGTAATCCTGCTCGGAAAATTAGGTTACAGTATAATTTGTAATGGACAAATAAAGCTATAAATAAATAATCTATTATAGTGAAGGGTATTATAAGATTCAAAACTGTCAAATATTATTTATAGGCTGCTGTATAAACACTTTTTAATCTGTTGAATTTCACTCCAGAATAAAAATGTGGATTCAAGTAAATAATTTGTTTATGGAAATAGAAGAACATAGTGGCTTTAAAAAAAAAAAATTGCGATAAGAACCATCAGACAGTTATTATAAAATGTTTGAAATACAAGTGTCAATAGTCATTTGTATACGAAAACGCAAGTTTATAAAATGTTTTTAAAATTTAATAAATTTTTTTTAAATATAATATTTATTATATTATGTATTTTTAATATAATATCAATAGCAATTGGCGAATGTTTTATAAATTTCGATAATGATATTGTCTTGAGGCCAACAATTTTATTAAAGGTCGGTTCTCATAGCGTTGATTTACCATTAAAAGATGTGGATACCCATTTAAAGTTGTTTGAAAACCAAGTAATAGAAGCACTATGTCCTACGAAATTTGAATAGTAAGTATAAAAAAAATCAAAATTATAGAATAATTTATTAGTAATTATAATTATATTCCCGTTTTTATATTTTTCCATTTTAGTCCCGAATCATACAATACCAAGAGTAAACTTAATATTAAGTGTGAAAATAATTATTTATATTCACAAAATAATTATGGCGGTTATGAACGTTACTCAAGAGACATTTTTTTAAAGTGTTCATCCCTAAAATGGAATTTATATGAAACCATTAACAATTTTGTTTGGTGTCCATCAAATGTAACTTCCTATCTTTTGGCCAGACCAACAGAATCTTTAACATCAAATTATCAATATTTGGCTGGCCTTTGTTATGACACCCATAATCTCTCCTTTAAATCCTTGTACTATACAATCACACCGAAACATTCGGAATCGTTGGTAACTATAAATTATGTAGATATTATTTAGTCAAAGTAAGACAATATTTACTTCGCTTAAGTATTTAGTTAAATTGAAATAAAAGTTGTACGATTTTGTCGTTAAGTCCGGGATGAAAAATTAAGGACTATATCGATATAGCGCCATATGTGGGGCTTATTTCCAAAAAATATAAAGTTAAATACTGTTTGACTTCGCCTATGTCAAATCTTATCCAGATCCGTCCAGCAGTTTAGAACCACTATTTGATGGAGTCCGAACGGAAAGACCATAATATTGTATTCCATATACTAGTTAATAGACTAATACTTACTATGACAAAATAACTAGTCCATAGACTAGCCCACAGTCTATAGTTTATTCCATAGAATAGTCCATAGACTTGTACATGGATCAATCAATATTCATAAGACTTATAAATGGTCCTTTCTTAAAAGTCATGCCATTAAACTAAACCATAGAATAATCAATAGGCTAATCCATGGACTGCTTAGTAGACAATTTTATAGAATAGTCAATAGATCAGTCAATAGACCAGTCTATATACTATGTAAAATCGGACATCGGCTCAAGTGATATTATTCTCAAACTCTCAAAATTTTAACCATATCGCATAATAATTAATTTATATATTATAGCATCCAACTGCTTTGAACAACCTTTATACACCCAGCTTGCAATTGGAATATCTAAAGGAAACGTTTGCGTTAAAAAGGTAAAATATTTATTTCACTTTTCAAAATATATTTATTTATTCACTATTTATTATTTACTATTATTTACAGTGTAAATGAAACTGAATACGATAATCAGGACATTCAAGATTGGATCAAATATTCACAATATAACTATAGTTCCATTATACAGAATTCACTTCTGTATAATGAATTTAATCATGAATTGGGTTCTATATTAGATCTAGCTTGGTGGCCTAATTTACGTTTAGGCAATTGGAAACGTTACGAAAATGCCCTGACAAAACAAGTCGAAGAACAACAACAGGCATATGATATTTTATCGGGTGTATCGGGCGTCGCAACGGCACCCATCCTTAAAGCTTGCGAAAGCAATTTTACATTAAAGGAATTGATTGACAATAGAAATCGTATAATACCAATGTATGTGTGGAATTATTTACGATCGACTAGCAATAGTTCTGATGAAATTGTAATCATTGGTTTTAATTCGCCATTTTATGAGGTGAGTAAATAAATTAAATATTTTTACTATTTTTTATAACATTATTTTTTTGTTTAATATTTGCAGTTTTATTCGGAAAATGATGTTATATTTTGTGTAGACAAATGTCAAGAGATTCCTTGGTTGAAAAGTGTCAGTACAACTTTTCGTTATAGCGCTATGGGTGTCATTTTCTGTTGCAGTGTCGAGGATGTTAAAGTATCACAACGTTTGGATGGTTTTCCTGTAAACAATATGGATACTGCTCCCGGAAAAGTTATACATAATATTTCTGTAGATGGTACAACTGCTCTACCTGAATATTATAATCAATATCTGGCTTTTATTTAGTGGTCCCCTTGAGAAATTTATTTAATTTCGCGGACCGTCATACATATTTTGATATCTAATTGTTGTAAATGATTGTTCTTCCAAAAATTGTGTTTCTTCTATAGACCATCACAAGGTCGAATAAAAATTTGAAAAAAAAAATTACTTCTTTGATGGAATATTAACATAATGTTTAATTTTATAACCCTGCGACCTTTAAATTTTCTGGTCTGGGTAGCAAAAAGGTTTCTTTATCAAGTTTTATCGAAGAGTCTCACCACATCAGGTTTTCCAGATATCGTTTCTTGAAGTTTGAAAACCCCCGTTTTTGTACATATTTGAGACGCTATGACAACGTGAAGATACCTGCATTTATAAAATCTGTTATGTCATCTGAAATTCTAATCTATCGACTTTATAATAACGGGTTACCTACTGTTATATTTATATATATATAACAGTATTCTTCGAGATTTCTTAACATAATGTTTGAAACCACTTTAAATTGCCTTTATTTTACAACAGACATGGGAAAATTATAAATAATTTTGATATCTAAGTTTTTCTTAAATTTTATATATTCTCCATCACCATCAGTAATAAGTTTGTCATTCCCTGTATAACACCAAGAACTATTCATCTCAGACCCAAAAGAAGTATATATATTCCGGATCGTTATCAAATTCTGAGTAGATTTAGCTATGTCCGTCTGTCTGTCTGCCTAAAACACGCTCACGGTAAAACTAATCAAAGGAAATCAACCAAATTCAACGAAAGTTTGTTCTTGAAAATCGGTCCATAATTGGTCAGTTCTCCCATATAAGGACCACTTCCGATAACCACGTAAACGCACATATTTAATTATCGAATGAAAAAATCGGTCCATAATTGGCCATAGCTCCCAAATAAGGTCCAGTTTCGGAAATGACTTAAATGCATATAACTAATTAAGAAATAAAGATATTAGAATAATATTCAACGTACATAAATTTTATATATACATATATATGTATATAAGTCTGCAAAATATATATAATTGGTCAGTTCTCCCATATAAGGCCCAGTTCCGATAACCACATAAAAGCACATATTTCATTGCTAAAAAAAATAACAGTATAACATTTGTCATAATTGTGTTTAAAGTACATATAATATATGGATCCAGAAAATAGTATGTTACCCATTTTAACAAATTATATTCAAAATTGCGATCTGTTGCGTGCACACAAGGTTTATACGGTCACAAAGACGGACATAGCTTAATAAGGACAAATATTTTTGAGTGTTACAAACATCACCACATTATGCCGACTTTTGGATAGATAATAGTATATTAGACGTAGTTAAAAGATAAACGGCGAAATCGGAAGGTCCGGATGTATGGGGGCTAAGGCAGAAATTGAGCCGATCCTTATAAAATGTTTTATTGGGAATTATCTATATACATATATAAAAATGAATGTGTGTTTGTTTGTATGCTTATATATTTGTGTGTTTATATGTTTGTATGTTTGCACGTTATAAACTACTAAACGGCTAAACCGATTTTCTTAAAATTTTCACAGCACATTCCTGTATGTCTGGCAATAGGCTACTTTTTATTTCCGATTATGGCGAAAAATGACAGTATTATTTATAATTATATTAAACTTAGTTGTGCCAATTTTTGGGAAGATAGTGGTATATTTATCGTAGTTATGAGCTAAAAGGCCCAAATCGGTGGGTCCGGTTGTATGGGGGCTAGGGCAAAAAATGGTCCGATCCTTATAAAATTTAATGTCGACATTTATGTTTATATAAAATCTATTTGTGGCAAATTTCATCGTGATACTAGTGTTTATAAGTGAATTGTGGACATTCAAGCCATTTTCTGAAGGGGTTTTTGTATGGGGGATAGGGTCAAATAATGCCCGATCATTATAAAAATCGACAGTGTTATTTATAATTATATCAAACTTGGTTGTGCCGATTTTTGGAGTGATAGTAGTATATTTGACAAAGTTATCGGAAGGTCCGCTTATATGGGGGCTAGGGTAAAACTTGGTCCGATCCCTATAAAATTTATTGTTGGGAATTATGTTTATATAAAACTTATTTGTGCCAAATTTCATCGTGATACTAGTGTTTATAAGTGAATTGTGGACATTCAAGTCATTTTCTGAGGGGGACTTTGTATGGGGGCTAGGGTCAAATAATGCCCGATCTTTACGAAAAACACTGGAATTATTATTAAGACATATATAAAACTAAATTTTTCCAATTTTTGTAGAGATAGTAGATCATTTAACATAATTATCAGGTCAAAAGCCCTATTCGGGGGATCCGGTTGTATGGGGGCTAGGTGAAATAATGGATCGATTTCAACCATTTTCAATAGCGTTCGTCCTTGGATCAAAAGAAGTACACGTTCCAAATTTCATAAAATTATCTCAAAAATTGCGACCTGTAGAGTGCGCACAAGGTTTACATTGATACACAGACAGACAGACGGACGGACGAACAGATGGACATAGCTTAATCGACTCAGGAAGTGATTCTGAGCCGATTGGTATACTTTAAGGTGGGTGTAGGACCAATATTTTTGGGTGTTACAAACATCAGCACAAACACATAATAAATAAAATAAATAATAATAAATAAAATTCCGCATAAATAAGTTTTTTTTTGAATATATCACTTTGGAAGTTCTTTTCTGGATAGGACCATAATTGGTCTTGTCTCCCATATAAGATATAGGAATAAAATTCCGAATAAATAATTTTTTTTGTATATATCACTTTGGAAGTTTTTTCTGGATAGGCCAATTATGGGTCTTGTCTCCCATATCCAAAAATTACTTAGACGGACATATTTCATTAACAAAAATAGATATCGCTATAAAAATTGAGATAAGTATATTTTGTGTATATAGAAATCATTCTGAAAAAAAATTTCTGATCAGACCATAATTGGTCTCTCATATAAGGTTCACTTCCTTAAGTGACTTTATCCCATATATTTCATTAATATAAATAAATCCGGATAAAATCCAACGTACATAGTATGGTTTGTGTACCAATAAATCATTTTGCGAAATAATTGGTCATAAAGGAACATAAATTGGTTATGGACCCCTAGAGGTCCGCGGATCTATATTATATACATATGTTTACATATTTTTATACCCACCATCAAATCAGATGGGGGTATATTGATTTTATCAATCCATTTGTAACACATCGAAATATTGAATACAGACACACAAAAGTATATATATTCAGGGTCCTTGTTAAATTCTAAGACGATCTAGCCATGTCCGTCCATCTGTCTGTTGAAATCACGATAGCGACCACATGGGAGGAGCTAGACAGTTGAAATTTTGCATAAATATTTTATATTGCTAAGGTTTGTTTGGTGGCCACCGGTAGGTTAGTGGTTAGTGTTCTAGTCTGGTAGACCGGAGGTGGTGGGTTCGATTCCCACCTGAGGCACTGGTTAAGGAGCGCACAACAGGCCCGATAGAGGCCTAGGTGTATTTCTTCGGATTTGATGTATATACATCCTCCTTTCAAACTAACTAACTAACTAACTAAGGTTTGTTTGGTATTGAAAATGGGCAATATCGGTCCACGTTTTCGGATAGCCCCAATACAAGTGGACCTCCAAAAAAAAGCAGCTTTAACGGGCATAACTGTTTTAAAAGTACGAGTATAGCGATGAAATTCTACCCCCCATATAAGGTCCCCTTCAGAAAATGACATTAACACTCATTACTGGCCTAAAAATTCGAGTATAGCGATGAAATTCGGTATAAGTAAGTTTCTTCTTACGTAGGGTCCATAAATGACCCTACCCTCATATAAGGCCCCTTTCTAAAAATGACTATAACGGTCATTACTGGCTTAAAAATATAAATATAGTGAGGAAATTCAACACACATAAGTTCTTTGCGAGCCAAAATCTCTCTACCAAATTAAGTGAGGATCGGTCTATAAATGACCCTTCCGCCCATATAAGGTCCACGCTCATTACTGGCTTAAAAATACAAGTAAAGCAATAAAATGTGTCACACGTAAGTTTCTTATGAGACAAAACCTCTCTACAAATGTATTTTAGGATCGGCCCATAAATGACCCTATATCTAGATATATAAGATCCTCTTCTGAAAATGACTATAACGCTCATTACTGGCTTAGGAATATGAATATGGTGACGAAATTCGACACACATACATTTTATGCGAGCCAAAATCTCTCTACCAAATTTATTGAGGATGGGTCCTTAATTGACTCTACCGCCCATACAAGGTCCCCTTCGCAAAATTACTTTAACTTTCAAAATTATTTAATTCAAAATTACGAGTATAGCGATAAAATTTGACACAAGTAAGTTCCTCGCGAGCCAAAATCTCTCTACCAAATTGTATGTGGATCGGTCGATAATTGACCCTACCCTCAATATAAGGTCCCCTTCAGAAAATTATTTAAATGACCATTGCTGGCTTTAAAATACGAGTTATGAAATACGGCTATGAAATTCGACATAAAAAACTTTTATACGAACCTTAATCTTGCTACCGATTTTCATGCGGAATGTGTCGGTAACTCACCCTACCCCCATATAAGCCCCCTTCAGAAAATTACTTTAGAGCTAATTACTGGAATAAAAATGCGATTACAGCGATGATATTCAATGTAAACAAGTTTTTATGAACCAAAATCGGTCAACAAAAAGTTATGATAGGTAATAATTGACCGTACCCCTCATATAAGGTCCTCTTTAGAAAATTTGATCAGGAGGATTTTACGATGAAAATCGTCATAAAAAAGTTTATACATAGGAACATAATTCTTCTTTCCGAATTTGATGAGGACTGATCTATAACTGATCCTTGCCCATATAAAAGGTTCCTTTCAGGAAAGAATTTTGGTGATTCAAATACGAGTTTTCCTTATTTAAAAATACGAGTATAGCGATGAAATTTGACATAAGCCATATTCCAAATATCATCCTGATATTTATAGGGGAGCATTCCTTGTAAGCGATTGTGGTAAGTATTTGCCTCCAATGACAACGCAAACTAGAACCACAAATTTTTGAACAAACCGAGCCACCAAAGAGTTATTTTTAAAATTTCGATTATTTAGGAGCAAACAGGGCTCCTTAATTGAAACATTTAAATAAAGTTATTAAAAAAAGTTAATCTATTTCACAGTGGGGCAGAATCAAAACTTTTTGCAAATAATTCTGGGATCTATAAACGGCTGTTCCAATCAGGTTGAAATTTGCTTAGTATTATTCAAGTGTAAATTTTGACTCCACATTGCTCCATCGATAAAAAAAACTTATCTAAATGAAACAATTTCGAAAAAATATCGATCAAATTATAGCGGTATTGGCACACTTATAGAACTGGTATAGCACTTACGATTTGTTTGCCGCTGGTTTAAAACGAACATTGCCGAAAGACACTACTCAAGTGGTCGAATGAAACTATATGTCTCGAGCGATTCGTATGACCACTTCAGAATGTGCATCTTGATAAGTTTTCGTGGGGAAAATATTAAACAGTAAATGTTGTCATAACGTAACAGAAAGAAGTTATAATATCTCACGTATTCTGCAACAGTCCGGCATTCGCTATTAATATAGAACGTCTAACTTTATTGAGGAATGTGATTGGATTCATCATGAAAGGAGTTTTTCTATGAGATAATTACAATCCATATAGCGACTCCCTAAGTATCGCAAAGGGATCAAAGATACATGGATTTACGTGAGTGGCTTAGAGAGTGGACCTAACCTACTGTATAGTTAACATATTTCAGGGGACTAGGTTAAATCGTAGATCGATATTGCCCATTTTTAATAACAAAGTAAATATATCAATAAAGAGCATTTATAGAAAATTTTTAAGTTTGGAACCTATCAAGACAGACAGACATGGCTAGATCATCTTAGGATCTAATCAGAATGCTTAATGTAGTGCTGACGCTAGATAGTAAACATTGGGATGCTTTAGATCGGTTTCTGCAATTTGGAGGGCATCTCACATTCGTTTGCAATGACACATAGACTTGTTTAATGTCATCCCTCATATGATCTCTTATTCTCTGCGAAAACCATCTCTACGCTCTAAATAAGATCAACTAATAAAATGCACACTACTTTTGCGACAAACCAAAAACACAAACACAACTGCTGCGGCCACATATCCGATGTATGAAAGAAAATCAAAAACAAAACAAATCAATGTTTAAAAGTTCGTTCATTATATACACATTTATTCGAATTTTTGTTTTATAAATATTTTCCTAATGTGGTGACTGTTTTGCTGTTTCGATTACTGCTGTTATTGCTATTGTGCCTGAATATTTTTGTTTTTTTCATTTTGAGCAACTTTTTCTTTAGACGAATAGACTACATTTACAAAGTAATGCAGTCACTGTGTTTCAGTGCATTCGAAGACATCGGCGCGTTAATAACGGTTGACGGTTAAATTTTAATTATTAAATAAAATCTATACAAAAATAAAAACCGAAAAATATACAAATTTATAAAACAAAAATATTATTACAAATACAAAAACAAAAGGATTTATATTATTTAAAGATTTTTTTGTTTAACAAAAAGTTATTACATTATTTGTGAGGTGAGTGTGTAATTTAAAGATAAAAATTAAACAAAAAAGCAAAAAAAAAATATTTAAAAGAAATAAAAAAATTAATTTTAAATAATTTATTTTACATTTAAATAAATAAAACTTTTAAAAAATTCTAAAAAATTTTAAACGAGAATTAAACTACAATATAATTTTTACAAAATAATTTAATAAAAAATTTTGAATTGTGTCAACAGTAAACTGTTGTAAAATGTTTATGATTTTATACGAGATCATAAAATATATCTACAAATGAAGTTTTTGGTGTTTGTTTAAAAATTTATGGAGTTTACTTTTTAAAACCATTTTCTGGAACATAGCACAAATATCAATATCTGGGGCCTTTGAAAAGTGTCTTTTAATTAAAAAATAATCACTACTAAATCGTTCCCTCTTATTAAACTAATACTATGTTTTGGATTAAATTTGTTCAGAAGTTTTTTTTTAATAGTGAAATTTTAAACTAAAATAAAAATCTAAAATTGGTTAAAAATTATGATTTTTCAAACTCTGCCTTCTGATCATATAAATTTTAAAGTTTTTGTTCTGAAATTTGTTAAAAAAAAAAGTTGAAATTCAAATTTGAAAGATATAAGAAGTTATGCCTCAACCACACAGGCCAACAAATTTTTCACCCAGAGACCAAAATATATTTTTTAAAAGTTTATGCTGTACCGAATACGAATCAAGCATCAGAATTTCTCCTTGGGGTTTTTGAGATATCGTGTCCTAAATTTTGAAAAAAACAGTTTTTGGATATATTTGAGATATTATAACTGTGCAGAGACACCTTTATTTAAACATAAGTTAGTTCTGCCGACTTTAAAATCAAGCTTCAACCTTCTACTTGTTTCTACTTCAAGATATCTTAACCTAAAAAGATTTCGGATTCAGCTGTAGTCTTTGGTTTTTGATTATTTTTTTTTTCAATTTTGTTATTTTAAAAATCTTTAATTTCAAAACCTAAATTAAAAAGTAATAGTAAGTTAGAAAGCTCGAAAAATGCTTTTCACTACTTTATTCATTAGTATTCTAACTCATTAGCAAGTACTTACTACACCCGCTTACAAATAACTACTTAAATAAGTACTCTCAAATAGGCAGTTAAAATTGTTCACACAGATTACAAACCAGGGCCTAGTTCAATGTCTTACAACTACTACTTAGTGATTTTATTGGGCATGGTGATCAAAAGTAATGTACTTATGTGTATCTGATTATACTTAGTTAAGTCATAATTAGATAACTTCAAAGTAATGCAGACGGTATGTGGTAGTCATTACGGAGTTTTTGTTGTATGCATTATTATCAGTTGTTCATGTTTGCCAAATTTTATTCTATTTGAACTATAGGAACTGATACAGAATTCAGTGACAAATTTTGCCTCAAAGTACTTGACAAAACAAGTTAAATATTCACAGTTCGATTGCGAATAGAAATTTTGAAAATATATGATCTGTTCAAATACAGAACAAATATAGCCACCATCAAAGTGAATTTCAAAAGGTGGACTTATGCATCCATCATTTTGTTATTCGTAGATTGATATTTCTCATTTTTAATAGCATCCTAGCAAAAACTAGGTAATGGCTTCCAATTGTAATTACTTACCTAACAACATACTTTTCAATGACTACTACATATCGTCTGGATTACCTAGAAGTAGTTTAATAAGGTCTTACTAATAATGTATTATATAAATACTTTCTAATTCATTAGTCATCTTGCTAGTGAAGATATAAAAGCTGTATACGTTTTCTCATGTGATTTACAATGACAACTTTTTCTAATTACTTGTAATCGTTTGTGGTAAGTACTTGCCTCCAATGACAACACTGAATTAAAATAATGCTATTGTGTAAGTAAATTTTAGCATTTTAACCCCTTGTATGGTAATGAAAGTTTTTAATGGGTCACATTATACTTTCAACACACAGCCTAAGGACAGACATAGTGACATGGCTAGATCTAGAATATACTATATACGGAGAATATATGTACATATGTATACATTTGTGTGGCATACTTAAGTGATGTGTATTTTAAAGAGAATATTCTGAATCGGTCAAAAAAGTGTAGTCGGAAACCTGCCAACCTCTATTTTCAAAATAGTTTTTAACAGGTATTGCAAAATGTGGCAGAGTTATCGTAATGGTATAGTATTCAGGGCAATTTTCGAATTAGTTCCATACGATAGAGGCAGCTTCGTAGTCTGATCAGCTTAATAGTCTGATCAGATTTTAAGAACTCATAACAGATAGGAACCTTTTAATCCTAACAAATACGGATCACTACCTTAGCGCCATGGATGTTTGGCTTTGTTGTCGATTCGGCGTATTGGTAATTTTTTACATTCAACATCTTAAGCTTCGGGTTATCACAATGGAGCCAATTTTCATACAATGGTTTTGATGCAATTTGAAAGCTATATCAAACTACATTTTCGACATGCAAAATCGTCTTCCAAGGTCTTTTAGCTTTAATTCGTATAACGCTTTTACTGTTTGAGTAACTCTTAATGATTTTATCAGCTCTTGTTAAGTGTGACAACCACTATATGCAGTAATGCCTACAATTCTTGCTCTTCAAACTTTTTTGACTGGTCTAGGTAATAATTGTCTTCTGTATCAAAACTATCACTATCACTGGACACCACAAACTATCACTCGAATGTTAAAACCAACGGAATACACTCAAGATATTTCTTTGATGTAAAATAATAACTTGTTGATGTAGGTTCCCTTAGTTTGGCAGAATATTAAGATATTTGCGAAACATATCCAGCAAAAAACAAGTAAGAATTTATAGTCGGTCATTGCCGACCATATGATAACCTACACCAGTGATTATGTTACAAATTTTGATTATTTTTTAATACTAAAGTATTTAATTTTTTTACCTTAATTCAGAAATATTTTAACTATTTGTTGACAAAAAAGACATTTTCTAAAAGAGGGGTTATATAGAGGCAGGGGGTTAATATGGACCTTATATATATTGTTAGAGGGATTTACGTCTACATCAGTTATTTATTGAGAATATCATCGTGTTATTTTAATGTTTCTAAGAGAATTTTTACCATCCAGCCATTTTCTAAAGGGGGTTTTGTATTAGGGATAGGGCCAAATGAGACCCCCGATCATTACGAAAATCAGCAGTATCATTAATACTTATATTAATGCTTATATAAAACTAAGTCTTGCTGATTTTTGAAGTATGCAAAAACTCGAAAGCCCTATTCGGGGGTTACGGTTGTATGAGGGCTATACGAAATAATGTACCGATTTTAACAATAGACTTCGTTCTTTGGTCAAAAGAATAGTATGTGCCAAATTTCATCACATTATCTTGAAAATTGCGACCTGTAGCGTGCGCACAAAGTTTAAATGGAAACACAGACAGACGACGGACAGACGGACATAGCTAAATGAACTCAGAAAGTGATTCTGAGCTGATTGGTATACTTTTAGGTAGGAGTAGGATCAAGATTTTTAAATGAAATGAAACGTTTGTTAAAATGCATCTGGATTCAAATTGAATTCTTATGAATTCTATTAAACATCAAATAAGTTAAGAAATAACGTGACAATATTTATCATCGGCCTATAAATGTATGTATGTGTATAGGATATAAGATTCTATAGCGATTTCATATATCCATTCAATAGTCTCTCTGTTGAAAGCACATACAGTAGAAGTTAAAAAAGCTTAAAATTATCACAAATACTTTCTGTAAATAAGCTTTGTTTTGAAATTAAAATGAGCAATATTGGTTCCCGATTTCACCTAACGCCCAACGAAATACTATTTGATTTTCCATCATAACAACTCTGGGCCACAAGTGGTTGGAAAGTTTTCCCTTATAGACGAGATCTTGAACCATCTGACTTCAACTTTTTCGATAGATGCAGTACGATCTCTAAGATGTGCTTATGTTCAGAACAGGTTATCCGAAAATAATTTGATTCGAACATGACCTCGAAAGGTAAACAATTCATTTGGAACGGAATAGATGTGCTGCAAGGATACTGTTTTTTAACCTACACCACTATAGTGTGCTTATACTATAGGTTTGTGCAGATGTTTGTTGAATTTGTGACCATATCGTACAAGCAGCATCTCTTCCCAAGGCACGTGTATAAACAATTTCAAAAGTTGCCCTTAACTGACCAAAATGCACATAAACTCAATGATAATTATAAGTTTTTTAATAACTTTTTTATCTTTTGTTTTATTTTCGCATTTTGTGTGTGTGTTTTTTTTTAAGCACAATAAGTTAGTTTTCGAGCTTTTCAAATTAAATGAATTAACATATTAAACATAAAACAAACAAATAAACTAATGCAAAAAGAATAAAGTTCGTGTTTGTTAACTTATTGACTTAAAAAGCGCAGCCTGTCTGTATTTTGTTAAACTTAAAATTTTTCTAAAGGAAAAAAAAAAAACTTAAATTTTTTTATATTTTGTCATTTGTTTATGGTCGTTTTAAATTCAATGCCATTTAAATCAAACTAAAGTTGTAGATTTATTGAACTAAATTTGTTCTAAAGTAAAAGCTGCAAAATTGAAAATAAAACGCAAAAATATATTCAATAGTTTAGAAAAAGCAAAAACACTGACTAAACAATGAAGTTATCTTAAAGCTTAATATAAAGAACATAAAAAAAGGTAAGAAAATTTAGAAACTTTGAAGGTTGCAAATTAGAAACAGTAGAATTGGTGGTCAGTTTGTGATGTTAAGTTTTTAGCATGACAATCGAAAGTTTTGCTTTCTGTTTTTTTATTATGATTGTTATTATATAACTAAAGTTATTTGAATTATTTATGTATATGATTAAGAACACACTTTAGTGCTATTGTATTTTAAGTCAAGTTTTCCTTCCTCGTTTATGGGCGACAGCACAGTGAGACAATGATTTTGTATAACAATTCAAAATGTTTTATTAGAAGTGTTTTTAAACTTGTAGAGGTTAAATGGAATCAAATATTTT